TACCCTATGAGTAGAGAGCTTGGTGGATGCAACTACTCTAAGAGTAGAGAGAATGAAAAATGCTAGAATAGAGTGAATTAGAAGAGTAGAATAGATGGGTTGATGCTTTGTGATCATCACCCGACAGTTATGGGAATCGGGTTGATGCTTTGTGATCACCACCCGAATAGCCCTTAGAGATGGGTCGATGCTTTGTGATCGTCACCCGATGAGTAGTAGAAATGGGTGGATGCTTTGTGACCACCACCCGGTTAGTTGTTAGATAAGTGGGTTGATGCTTTGTGATCATCATCCAACATTTAGTAGAAGTGGGTTGATGCTTTGTGACCATCACCCGACAGTGACTAGAGACGGGTTAATGCTTGGTGATCGTTACCCAAAAGTCATGAGAAACGGGTAGGTGCTAGGTGGTCTCCACCCGATAGTTAGGAAAACCGAGTAGGTGCTTTGTGATCCCCACTCGGTAGTCACTAAGAACGGGTTGGTACTGTGTGAATTCCACCCGATAGTCATGGAGAGTGAGATGGTGCTGTGTGAACGCCATCCGGCCGTACCTCCGGTAAGATGAGGCCATGATGTTTAGTAGAAACAGAAATAGAAACAGAAATAGTATAAGGAAAGAATTAAGAGTTATACATACGGGGACAGACAGATAGAGGGTTTTACTTACTGAGCATTATTTTGTGCTCACCCCGTTATTTTCCTTTGTGGATGCAGGATCTAGGTGTTGATGCAGTCGGAGGGGCGTCGGCAAGCGAGGAGCAATAGCTACACTGTTTCCCCTGTTTTGTCTTTTAAAATGAATTTTTGTAAACAGTACTCTTTGTTTATAAAAGACATATGAATTATAATGAAAAGAAAACTTTGGGCCCAATTTTCTATTGTTATTATGCATGCATTGTACTAGTTTTCAGCAGTTGTTACAACTATTTTTTCTCTGTTACTCATATTCTGACTTTTCTCTTCTCACTTTAATTTTTGGTAATATTCTTCATTCTTTTCTGATATTCTGCATTCTTTTTTGATATTCTGATTTACTACTTACCAATGTACAAAGATAATTTATAAAACTGTACATCGTCAAGCACATAAGAAATGTTAAATCATGTAAGTAGCATAATACATATGCAGAATAGTAAACTTTTCTAAGAAAAGAATTTTCTTTTCTTTTCTGTTTTCTGTTTTCTATTTTCTATTTTCTATTTTTTGTTTTCTATTTTTTGTTTTTTGTTTTTTGTTTTCTATTTTCTATTTTTTGTCTCTTATGCTATATCTCTTTCTTTTCTTTTCTGTTTCTCTTTCTTATTCTGTTTCTCTTTCTTATTCTGTTTCTCTTTCTTATTCTTTTTTGTTCTGGTTTATCGATCGGACAAGGTTAAGGCATGGATTTGGAACCCTGGCCATGTGAGTGTATACTAGGTATAATCCTCATCTACATGCACTATTGATTAACTGTACTAATTATGTTCTGATATGTTGAGGCCGCTCACAAATGGTGGCGTGCATGTGGGTATTTTCTACTGGGTACATTCCTCATCCACATACACTGCTGACGGATTGTACAAATGATGTTTTTCTATGCTGAGGCCGTTCACTGATGGCGGCGTGCATGTGAGAATTTTTTGCATCTCTGTCACTCATGAGTTCCCCATCACAACAACTTTATAACATAATATGTTGTAGAAAGAGAATAGAAAGAGATACTATACACATTTCTAAATGAATTTCCAAGCTATGGAAATTCTACACTTGCTTTCTTTGGTAAATGAGAAAATATACATATTTGCATGTTAGCTTAAAAAGAATCTTGAAGCCTTTTTCTTTTCTTTCTTTTGCTCATTCTTTGCTAACATATTCTTTAATATTCTCATTTACCAAATCAAGACTATATATAAATCATATGCGCAATATATGCATGATCAAGCCCATTCTTTTGATGTTCTTTCCAAGTTCACATACACAAACTTGAAAATTCATCATGGCATAATGGTATGTCATGACATATTCTACCATTCTCTACTATCACAAATCATATCAAAGTAACACTTTAACATGCAATTCTTTTCTAACACTGTCATGTAATATTCAAGAAGTAGTAAAGGTTCAAGTAACTAGAACCAAGCATTAAGGGCCATTTCTCTCATGGAACTAATATGACCAAGTGATATTCTAAATTTTGGCATAACAATATGCACTCTTGAATTCTAACATTTGCACTTGGTTAAGCTCAACATAATCTTTCTACTTCAATTCTTACCTTTCTCTAACCCTTTCTTCAATAGGATTTAGCCAACTCATGTATGCATTTTCTCTTTGGATTTTCATCACAAAATTTATATGCACATGCAACTACTAAGTTGGCTACACTTTCACATCTCTCTAAATCCACCAAAATTTGAGCAAAAAAACTCACTAATTATAGCATTAAACCTGGCCATTTTCAACAATTCAAAAATTCCAACACTAATTCTTCCATAATTCCACCAATTCATCACAGACTCAAGCACTACTTCTTATGGCTAGAAATCATACATCATTCAACATCAAAAACAGCCAACAATTCTCACATACAAACATGCAAGAATCATTCTACACAATTCTTGCTCAAATCAAGGCTAAAATTGGGTTTACTTACCTTGAATGTGTGATATAACCTCCTTTTGCTACAATTCTCTTCCTCTTGGACCTAGATCATATAAAACCCATAAGAATTTGAAATTTTAAAGGTTAATCACACACCTTGTGCTAGAATCTTACCTTTGGATGCTTTGGAATTGAAAATCTCCAAGCCAAATCCTATGATTTCCCTTTGGAATTTAGTGAAGAACTTGGAGAGAAAAAAGGGTGAAGATGGTGTGTACAAGGGCTGAAACATGGTTAGGGCTTCTTCTAATGAAACCTTAGATCTAATCATATATGCATGTATTCCCAATTTGCCCTTGCACTTTCTATGAAATCCTATCTATATCCTTTAGTCAATTACCAAAATACCCTCATTTTTATTATCTTCTTTACATTATTTTACTTCCTTTCACTCCCCACTTTTTCATCTAATTAGGAGTGAAAATACCATTTTACCCCTAATGAAGTTTTTAAGGAATTTTCTTCACCTTTGTCAAAGGTAACTTCAAAGAAATCCAATTCAAGGCATTAGGGCATAAATAAAATTACGTATCTCGATATGGGTGTTACCTGATGACATCGCTTAAGCTAATTTTATTTAATTCAAGAAGGAAATGTCAAGTACAAATAAAATTGGCCTTGGTCGCTTAAGCGACGTCGATTATCGCTTAAGCGATCATGGCTTATCTATACAAGATTGCTTAAGCAATCTTGAATTTGAGAATGAATCATGTATAAAGAAAATTGGCCTTGGTCACTTAAGTGACATTGGCTATCACTTAAGCGATCATGGCTTATCTATACAGGATCGCTTAAGTGAGAACTGACATTGTTTAAGCGATCTTGAATTTGAGAAGGAAAAGTCAAGTACGAAGAAAATTGACATTAGTCACTTAAGTGATGTTGGCTATAGCTTAAACGATCACGGCTTATCTATACTTGATCGCTTAAGCTAGAACTAACATCGCTTAAGCAATCTTGAATTTGAGAAGGAGTAGTCAAGTACAAAGAAAATTGGCCTTGGTCGCTTAAGCGACATAGGCTATCGCTTAAGCAATCATAGCTTATCTGTATAAGATCGCTTAAACGAGAGCTGCTGACATCGCTTAAGCGATCAAGGGTAATTTTCTTTTGTACTTAGAATAATCCTTCTCAAATACACAATCACTTAAGTGATGTCAGCTCTCTCTTAAACGATCTAATATAGATAAGTCGTGATCGCTAAAGCGATAGCCTACGTTGCTTAAGCGACCAAGGTCAATTTGCTTCTTTTCTCCCCACTCTTTTGATATTGTGAACGTTTGAGAAATTATATTCCGTATTGTGGGTCAACTGTGTATTCAATCATAAGAATCCATATTTTTGAAATGAGGTACGTTTCTACTAACGTGTCACACTAGTGTGTTATAACATTTCTTCATGTATCATAGGGTTGTTAGTCACATATTGTAGCTATTATATTTTGATGTTGTGAACGCGTGAGGTTTTAATTAACAATAACAATCTTCTTAAATGGCCTTAATATGTGTTGATGGAATTAGTTGTCAAATAATCCGCCATAAATGGCCTTAATATGTGTTAATATCTCTTAAACAATCAAGGCTAATTTGCTTCTTTTCTCCCGAATCTTGCGATGTTGTGAACATCCCAAGTTAACCTTAACGTTACTTAATATGGGGTTGTCGAATAATCCATATAAAAAAACAAGATGGCTTAAGCGATGCAGCTCTCGCTTAAGCGATCCAGTATATATAAGCCTTGATCGTCTAAGCGATAGCCCACATCGCTTAAGTGATTAAGGCTAATTTGTGTCTAAATAATCCTCCAGTACATGATCACTTAAGCAATGCAACTTTCACTTAAGTGATCCAACATATATAAGTCTTGATTGCTTAAGCGATAGCCCACATCACTTAAGTGATCAAGGCTAGCTAATTTGTTTCTAGATAATCCTCAAGTACATGATTGCTTAAGCGATGTCAACTCTTGCTTAAGCGATCTAGCATAGATAAGCTTTGATCGCTTAAGCAATATCCCACATCGCTTACACATCGCTTAAGCGACCAAGGCTAATTTGTGTCAAATAATCCACATAAAAAACAGGTTCGCTTAAGTGATGTAGCCCTCACTTAAGCAATCCAGAATACATAACCCTTGATCGCTTAAGTGATAACCCATATCGCTTAAGCGACCAAGGCTAATTTGTGTCAAATAATCCATATAAAAAACAAGATCGCTTAAGCAATACAGCTCTCACTTAAGTTATCCAGCTCTTGCTTAAGCGATTCGGTAGTCATCACCACCTAATATCATCTTTTCAAAACTTTAAACAAAAAGATCCTCAATCACCAAACAATCTCATAAAGTACTCATCAAAACCATTAAAATTGTGTTTTGATTCATTAAAATTAGCTTGGCAACTAATAAAACAGCAGCCTAAAAGTACAAAGTCTAGACAAGGAAATTGTGTTCTATTTATGCTTCTTCCAAGGGAGTTGCCTTGTCCTTTTCATCAATATAAGTACAGGTCTGCCCAAGGAAATAAATTAGGGACATGAATTAGGAAACATTGAATGGGTTCTATTGATTTCTGTGACAATTTCGACTGTGAGCTTAACTTGGCATGCATTTATAAGCTCTTGAAGCTAGCCTGACTTGGTAGCTCCAAATACAGCACTCGCAACAAGAGGGTGTCTCAAAACAAATGCTTCCCCATGAAAAATCACAAGATGAAAATAATGTTAAATCCAAATCCAAGAAAACAGCTAACACAAGGGTGTTAAGTAGAAGAACACATCACAAGTCTTCCACAATAAAGATACACAGGCCTATGAGCATAAATTTCTTGAAACCTATAATTAACATTAGTGATATCCATTTGTATATGGCTTCAACTAAGAGAAGAGTTATATATTCAACTAAAAGCAGACATAAAACCTTCTTTACTGGCATGGTCAATATTGTTCTTCAAAACAATTCTTTGGCAAACTAGGCTCATGGACTCTCCATCTTTCTACTTCAATTTTGTTACTTGTTAGTTCTAAATGATAAAATCCAGACCCTGAAACGATTAGCACCCCATGATACATGATTGAGATAATTGTAGATCAACAGTGAATGTAACAGCTTTTAGCAAGAAACTATTTTAAATATGAGACACAAAAATAGAATTAAAAGGTTACAGAAATAAATGACCATTAACATTTTCAAGACAGCACATTCCCACAAATACATAGAGAGAGAGAGAGAGAGAGAGAGAGAGAGAGAGGTTATACCAATTGCAAGAGATACGGGATGAAGACCATATCACCTTGCAACATCAAGATACTCCTGCAAAAAAAAAAAAAAAAAAAAATGAAAGGGTTTGATTAATCATAGAATAGTGTAATAGACAACAATTCCTTTCATGCTTTTCTTACTACAACAATTCTATAATTCACACGAATACATAGAGACACAGGTTATATCAATTACCTGTTGTAGATGCCTTCCTTTCTACTCCCTTCATTGCTTCAAACCTTACTCAACAGCAATTCCATACCGTTCTGCCAAACCTTCCATGCTTCAAACCTTACTCAACAGCAACCCTTCTACCAAACCTTCCATGCTTCAAACCTTACTCAACAGCAACTTCATACCCTTACTCAACAGCAATTCCATACCCTTCCATGCCAGACCTTACTCAACGTACAACCAAGAGCACAAATAACCCAACAACAAACCCACAATGCATATAAGCCAGTCACAAGCAAGAATAACAACAATCCAGTAACACAGTAACAAGAAAAAAAAGGCTATTTCATTATGATTCTAGAATTTACAAGATAAAAATAAAATAAAAAAAATAAAGGCAACACCCAGCTGGTCTTTTCCCTTTCTACCCTCTTTTCCTTTCCTCCAGCACCCCCACCAAAAGTTGATACATGTTGGTTGCCAAAACCTCCAAATTCACCACCACCTATAGCATAATTGTCCCTAATAATTCAGCATCAATTCTTTTATTACTGGTCATATTGAGCATCATCTGTACAACTTCTAGAGCCTGCAAAAAAAAAAAAAAAGCCTGAATAAACAATAAAGCATAAAACATTGATAACTAAAGAAGATTATTGTGAAGTATACTAATTTTGTATTCACTAACATATCATATGATCTCATACATTAATAGTATCCAAAAAAAAAAAAAAAAAAATTGAATAAACATGTATTTTTGCATATATTTTTTAGGAAAAAACTAAAACTCCAAATGGATGTATCCTGAGCCATTGGGGACCAAAATTATAAAGATCATTCACCATAAAGTCTATGTTAAAATTATTTTCACCAGTAGCTGTTAAAAACAGACACAAATGGGTGCTCTGGACTTCGCAGAAGAGAGCAGAATAGAGGAGGCTCGAGGCTTGCTTGCATATTGCAGGGCTGGCTGTGCGTGCATATGTAAGTAATTGATATACCATATGGAATGGAAAACAAAAATTTAATCGGTAAATCAATTACCTTCTTTGCCTAAACCCGAGTATAGATTATACCATTTACATGTTTATAAACAAAAATCTATATAAAGTAAATCCATTCAAGGGTTAGAATACTTACGTACGTTTGGAGGCTCCTTCAAATATCTTTGATTTCAGACAAGAATATTGTTCATGGTTATTGTTCACCATCTACTATTCACGTGATTTTTTGCCAATCGATTCAAAGTAGGATCGCACTCACGGAAGTCCACACGAATATAATTTAAAAAACCCTTGATTATTTTTGCCAAAACAATCAAAGGCTTCAAGAATCAAGAAAAAAGAACAAGAAAAAGTTTTCTTCTTGAGAGAGAGAGATGGGGTGGCTAAGGTTTTAATTGAATGAATAATTCACATATATTTTGATTTTAAGTTTCACTTATATAGTGCAACAATTAATACCCTATTCCACTTAGGAATAGCTATAGGCTCCAACCCTAGTTCACCCTTGCAACCAAACACACCCTTTTTGATATTTTAATTAATTAATTATTATTATAATTAAAATCAATTAATATATAATAATATATTAACATTCAATCAATAATAATAATTCATTTAAATATATACATAGATATATTTAAATATAATCTCACTAATTTAATTTTGATATTAAAATTAAATACAGGCAACAACCTCAGCAAATTTAATTGCACTGTGAGATTACCAAAATACCCTTTTGTCTTGAAAGAAGAAAACATCATTCTCACAAAATGATTCTTAAATTATCTTCTAAGTGTGTGACCCGTAGGCTCTTTATCTTATCGATAGTGAGTAGTATCGCGATTAATACCAATTAATTGTCTCACTACACATAAACCAAGATTGACCCCTAGCAAGGCATCATGGCCATCCGATAGATTCGGATTCAGCGAAATCGCAGCCTGTCAACAGTTTGGTTACCATGCAATCAAATCCTTTCATCAACTGTTATCTCATCAAAACTGAGGTACAAAAATAGTGTCAACCTCAAATATCCTCGACATGTTTGTATTCAATTACTAGACCAATGACAGGAATATTAAATTGGATTGAGCATCAACTCAATCCCAATGTGGCCACAGATTTAGTGTCATTGTCATTTACTGAATTACCTAGTGAGATAACTTCTCTCGTACCCAGGAATGATGAATCCTTTGTCGATCCATCATAGTCTTCATACACTTCTCAATGTAGTCAATCACTACCGTATTGATAGCTCTGAATAGAACTAAGTTGGGCTAGTATCAAACTACACTAATTGGTGCACAAGGCGCTCCAATGATCTCAAGTCTAAGGATCACATGCACCACCATCTGTTAGAGGATTTATTCTATAGACACTAGGGTTACCATCCATATGGAATCCTCCGATGGGTCTGTCCAATGAACTTGCCTCTAGCAAGCACCCATGTATTGCATTAGGTTGTCGACAAACAACCTTAAAAAGTGAGATCAGTTGCTATCAGTTGCTATCTTTCGACAGGGTCGTTCAACACTATGATAGCATTACCTTATTATCTGTGTCCTTGGTCAGAATAATACTAGGGCTATGGACGTTTCTAGAATGGCCACCATACGTGAGCATAGGATTCTCACTATCAAGATTTGAAACATTTGATACCCTCGTCACGGTTCTACCATTCTGAAGACATATATCATTACATACACGATATAGAAGAATATATCTTTTATTGATAAATAAACATTTATTACAGAGGAAATTTTACAATAATTGATAGGCTCTAGGGCACCTACTCTAACAACATAGCCTTGCAATATGCAAGCAAGCCCCTAGCCCCTCTAGTCCGCTCTCGTTGCCAAAAAAAGCCACCCACCTACCACAAACAACCTGCCTAGGCCTCCTTTGTCTTCCCTGTTCTTCTGGAAGCCCAAAACAACCACTCCTCTGATACCCTCTAATTGCTTGATAAAATGCAACAACGACCCTAAAAACAAACACCTACCAAATATCCCTCGAATTGGCTCCAACAACCAATAATTTCATAAAATATATAATTATTACCTATTCTTCCACCTCCTCGCCGGAATTTGAGCTGGCGTCTTCCTCTTATTTTCAATTTCGAATGATGTCGTCCATTTTTCTACTGGTGGGATGTCTTCTGCCGACGGGCGTCCTCTACCAATGAAGCAACTTCAGTCATCGAAAGTTGCTCCACCACTACCTCTTTTTCTCTATTTTTGGTAGACCCAGTGGTGCCTAGAATTTGGGGAGTGGATGGGTTTTTTTCCGTTTTTTTAAGGATCTCAACCATTGTAACTTAATCGGTTATGGCAAGGAATGGCAAAAATGCAAAGAGCAGAGAACTTGAGAAATGACAGAAAATTGGAAGAAAAAACGAGAGAGAGGAAGGTGTTTGCATCATGTTTTGCCTTTCAAATTTTAAATCAACTTCTTTTTATCATAGTTTAACCCACAAACATTTAAATCTTTTCACCCTAACCCTTTTTACTGTTTTAATTACACTTAATTGTGCCATGTCAGATTTTTAAACCCAAAAAACAAAATCAAAAACCTTTTCAAAGTTATATTCTCAATTCGAAGAAGGCATATCACTTTAATTTCCTCCAAAAAAAAAAAAAAAAAATCTCCAAAAAACCGTAACAAGAATCTGCAACCTCTCAAATGCAAGTAAAACCTTCTTAGAACCATTTGGGAAATCGCTTGTTTGGGTGAAAAAGGTGCTTTCTGTACTTCAATGTCGATTTCTTTCTTAATCTTTTTGTATTTTTATTTCCCTCCTAAAAACCGTAACCCTGAGCCTAAGAAACAAGAATCTGCAACCTCTCAAATGTAAGTAAAACCTTCTTGGACCCATTTGGGAAATCGCTTGTTTGGGTGAGAAGGTGCTTTCTTTACTTTCAATATCGATTTCTTTCTTTATTTTTTTTGTATTTTTATTTCCCTCCTAAAGACCGTAATCCTAAGCCTAAGAAACAAGAATCTGCAACCTCTCAAATGAAAGTAAAACCTTCTTGGACCCATTTGGGAAATTGCCTGTTTGGGTGAAAAGGTGCTTTCTTATATCGATTTCTTTCTTAATCTTTTTGTATTTTTATGTTTGAGTATCATGTACTTGCAGAATACAGCAATGGCCTTTTTTTCTCTATAAAATTTTCGTTGAAGATGAAGTTTTTAGTTGGGAAGACTTTGTTTTTCTTTTCTGTTTGGGTGCATTTCTTTCTAGTTAACCATGGGACTGTAGCTTAAATGTTTAAATCTATTCAACCTCAGGATTATTTAAGATAAGTTGTCTTCTAATAGTATTTCATAAACTTTTTATTCTATACGCTACTCAGGTTGTGATTCGATGGAGAACAGAATTGATAATCTTGATAGAATATCAGCATTGCCGGATGAAATATTGCACCATATTTTGTCATTCGTGTCACCGAAACAAGCTGTTCGAACTAGTGTATTGTCTAAAAGCTGGAAAGAAACATGGCGTACATGTCCGATATTAGTACTTGATGATGATCAGACTCACGATTGTTTTGCAAGGGCAAAAGAGATGTCGAAGTGTATGGAACAAACTTTACTAAACCGTCACATGGAGATGATAAGTTTAACGAAGCTCATGATTAGATTGTTGTATTTTTGGGATGATGAATTTGCAGCATTGATAGATCGATGTGTTTGCTTTGCAATTGGAAGTAATGTCAATGAGCTTGAACTTCGATTTCCAATGTTTGTGGGAGGATATAATTTGCCTCAAATTGTTTTTTGTGCAAAATCAATTAATGTGTTACAGTTGTATTGCTGTAATCTGTCCCGTCCAAGAATTGGTGTGCAATTGTCTTTGAGAAAATTGTGTCTGGTGGGTGTTTATGTAGATGATCAAATGATTGAGAATCTCTTTGCTAGGTGCCCATCGATTGAGTATCTGACTATTGAATCATCTGGAGGCTTTAAAAGCCTAGAGCTATTTAGTCTTAGGAAACTCCATGAAGTCAAGATGAGTCACAATGATGAACTCAAAAAGGTGGAGATCAATGCATTGAATGTTCATTCAGTAACTATTACTAATATGAAACAATGTGTGATCAATGTAGCCTCTTGTAAGAATCTGAAATTCTTACTATTAGCAGAGCTTTCAATAAAGGATGATTGGTTATGTAATGTAATTTCAGATTTTTCACTCCTCCAGTTCTTAAGCATAACTTCTTGTGATGAGTTAAGGAGCATCAAAATTTCAAGTCCTAGTCTTAAGGAATTGGTCATCAATGGATCTGATTTGGTTGTAGTAATGCTTGAGACTCCTAATTTAAGCATATTCAAGTTTTCTGGTCATCCAATATCCTTTACCTTAAATGCTATGGCTTTGTCAGAAACTGATCTCTACGTCTATGGTTATGATGATGATATTAAGGTTGATATTCAGGTTTTAGTTGAGTATATTGAACTTCTTGTGAAATTTAATCAGTGTTCTGAAGTGCTAAATTTGCAACATTGCACGGGTGCGGTAAGTCTATATCTACTAATCTCTTTTTGTAAATATGCTTTTAATAAAAATTTCTTTTCTTTTCTTATCATACTAATATTTTTTTTTTTTTTTTTTTCCTTTGTGAAGGTTGTCATTGTTCCTAGAGAATGCAGGCAAATCTTACATCCCCCTTTATGCGGTGTCAAACATTTGAACCTCCAAATAGATGATCTGTTTGATTTTACAATTCCCCAACTAGTGGACAGCTTGCTCTGGCTTTCACCTCATATAGAGACTATATCGATGAGTTTTCACTTAGGTGACAGTCATAAGTATTCTTTTCAGGTACCGGATATATTACATAAACGAATTCAAGACTTGGTCTATGCTGTGAGGTTCTATTAGGAGATTTTGATTGATTAACCATTTTTGTTTGTTTTACTATGTTTATGCCTTTCATGTTAAAGGAGGTAAAGGTTCTCTCAAATAGTAGCTTTTGATGTGATAAATCAAAACATAAATGATAGTTAATTTAGTTAATAAAATGCTAGTTTTTGAAATCATATTCTAACTATGCATTATGTACTTTTAGGTGGAGTTAAGATTTTGCTTAATTATTTGTCATTTGTCTTTGAAAAAAAAATAATTATTATTTACTTTTAGGTAGAGTTAGGATGAATTTTTTATCTTTGGAATAAGAACTATTGTTTATTGCCATTGATTTTTGTTTCAGTTCTCATACAAGGAGCAGCTTACTCACGAAGGAGAGATTCCTACTTGTTGCCAATCCTTTCCCATTTCATGTTGGCAGAATTGTCTCAAGGGAGTTAAGATTGAACATACTGCGACATTTTTTGCTCGGCCTGCTTCTGTATCCGAAATGAAGACCTTGGAGATGCATACTTACGGAGAAAGTTTCCATTTTCATGACAATATCTGGGATGAGCTTGAACATCTTTCTTTGAATTTGAGGAATAAGTTTAGTTATCTGTTTGATATCAATAGCGACTAAGAAATTCTTGTTTCATTATCGAATTCTCATGTAACGTTGGGTAACTTTGAATGGGTATCTGTTTTCGACTTAAACTTTCGTGAAGGCAAATCAGTTTGACGTATATTGTATGTAGCAGTAGCTTGTGATATAATTTTACTTATGTGACTAGGTTGCTTGCCCTGGCGTTTTAGCATCTTCTGATTAGCTATCTTTCTGTTAATAGCATGTTGAGAGATTGACTAGAATCAGGAAACTTTTATGTTATTAGGGGAACGTTATGGCATTTCGATCATTCGATTCTCCGATGGTCTTTTATCGTGAGACCATTGAATTTCTTCAATAAACTTTCGTTAAGGCAAATTAGTTTGACGTAGCAGTAGCTTCTAATATAATTGTACTGATGTGATTCGGATGCTTGGCCTGGGGTTTTAACATCTTATTCTGAATCTATTAATATTTACTACCATCTTTTTGTTAATAGCATGTTGAGACATTGACTAGAATTAGGAAACTTATTAGGGTAATGTTATCGCTTATCAATTGTTGTATTCTTCGATGGTCGTTTAGTGTGAGACCATTGGATTTCTTCGATGGTTGATATGAAAAATAATATTATCCTAGAGCGAACTATGACAGCATAAAATCATCAGAATTTTCCTGCAATTGTTCACTGTTTGACCATATGGTATTATTTAAACAAAGATAACTGTCTTTATATACTGAGATATATTGAATAACATTGAGAAGGATTATCTACTAACAACTTACTTTCACTTCATTCATAATGGGGAAATTTTTTAATTCCTTATATACAAAAGTAACAAAACTTTGCAAAATCTAATTTAAAACTTAAATGCAATAGATTTTTGATGGCCTTTCGAATAAAATACAAAAGAGTTGGCAAGATATCAAGGAGGGAAATAGTGAATTAGAAGTAGCAAATTCAAATCCCTAATCCCTAATCCTAAAATGGGAAAATAAAATTGAATAAAAAGAGTACATATTTTTATTTAATTTTTGTTGGGGTAATTTATATGTTGTTGGTGGAGTCAATCTTGTGAAATGGTGTTTGTGGGGGAGCTTTCTCGGCGGTGGTGGTGGTGGATATGTTTGTAATCTAAACATAAAAGCAAGACAAACATCAAGGGCTTGGTGACTTGGCCATGTGTTAGGACCCCCCCTATGGTTTTAGCCACACATTTTAAGGGTTCTTCATTTTTTTTTTTTTTTTTTTTTTTTGGGAACCCAGCTAGAAAGTTGATATTTAACAAGTAGATTTTTGATTGAGTTATTGCTATGAGTAATGTTAAGTATATAATCCAATCTCACAACTTTCTCTTACAATCCTCGACATGGCAGATAGTAATTAGTCAATTCGTAAATAGGTCTCGACCACTTGCTATGAGTCATGTCTACCCATTTGCTAGCTAACCAATTACGAGCTGTGAGATTGTGAAAGAAGATTGGGAGATTGGGTTGTGGACCTAGCCTAGCATTATTGTATTGCTATACTCACCAATGGCAAACACTTTTTGTCAATTTATTTTGCAAGTCTTATGGCTGCCTTATTTGCTTTCAATCATGTTTTATCATTACTTTTACATAAAATCTTTTGATATAAAAAACCATATTTAGTAACTGTCAATCAGTGGTATGACAATAAATTTGTTCTTAAAGCTTTCTACACATAGCTTGTCACACACAAGGCCGGCCCAAGGGCTAGGCAGGTGACCTGCCTAGGGCCCAAAAAAAAAGCCCAACAAGGGGTTCAAATTATTTTAAGATTTTTTAAATAGATTTATAGCAATACCACTGGGCCTAAAAAAATTTATATAATTTTTTATTCAAACCAATCAAAAGGGCCCTAAAAAAGCCAAGAATGCCCAAATTCATTATAATTTTTTTACATAAATTTACAAAAAAAACCATGTTTCATATTTTCTATTCACACCCCTAAATTAACTAATCTAATTATTTAAATGTCTAAAATTTCAAAACACTCATTCAATCTCTAAAATAATTAAAACATTGCATCTCCACCTCTCTACACCACTATAGTGTCCCTGTCGGTGTTAAAGTAATGATTCTGGTCAATTTTCTCACCAAAATCGACCGGATTCATCACTTAATCATTTTCGAAACATTTTCCTAGCCTTGACAACCCCCAATTTGGTCCATTTTTGCTGATTTTTGCTGATTTTCGCAACCCATTTTCATTCTTCACCACGTGTGACAGCCATTTCTGGCACGTATCCGCTGTCGTTGACCTTCCCTGACACCACCATCTTCGTCCCCTCAACCCCTCACTTACCTAACCCCAGTAGCCCGCGGTCCACCTCTCGCCCTCATAAGAAAGATTAAGTAATTTGACTATATTATCAATTGAAAAAGATTTGGTTTCTAAACTTGAATATAAAATTTTAATTAGTGGTTTTGCATCTCAGAAAGTAAGAAAAATAATTTTGAAATAATTTTTTAATATATGCTGATATTATTAAAATGCCTTAAAGTAACTTTTGTCTAGGGTCACAAATGTTCTTGAGACGGCCCTGGTCACACACATTATGAGAATCGATCGTAACCAAAGTTAAAAGAAGGGGGTGTCAAATTATCACGACCTTATTCCGTCATGTCGTGACAAAAGTAGCAACTGTGGTAAGTGTTCAAGGTAAAAAAGTTTTGCAAAGCATTCACATAGGGTGTGATAGTTGAGACGTCACGTGTGTTTTCTTCTGGCACATTGGCAATACTTCATAAGATTTTTTAGGAAGGAGATGCTCCATGAAAGGGGAATGTAGGAACCGTTATGAGTTGTTATTCATAGTCGATGATAAAGAAGGGATGAGCCATCCCTGCACAAATTGGTCGGGAGTTAGAGCCGCTTCCATAATGAGGCCATGACAAGACAAAAGCAATACACCTCAAGCCGATGAATGACATACGTGGAGACTTACCTCTCTCAAGTATGATGTTAGAGTGTCGCACAAACCGTTACGCTGCATGAAAACTCTAGGCCCGTAACACAAAGGCAAGGCGAGTGACTAAAATGAAGTCATAACAAGGTAGCCTTAGTGCAAGGTGTGGCTGGATCACTTCTTTTTCATGAAGAGCTAATGTTTATTGGATTGACTTTTATGATAATATGACCATCCCTTTGTCAAGAATTTCAAGATTGAAATTTGGATCCACCCAATTACTATAGGATAATTGAAATGAATATTCATCCATCCCTGAAAGTGGTACCAGAACAAATTGAATAGTAGTTGTATCTATGGCAACATGAGATGAAAGTGAGTTGCTTACTAACTGTTTCACCTTTCATTAATAGTAATACTACGTCCACAACTCAATCTCATAACTTTCTCTTATAACCCCAACATGACAGCTGAGTTGGCAACTATCAACTCCCATCACACCCAATACACAAAATGACTTTGACTAAACACAAACGGTTGTTTCTTAAGGACGAACAGTCGTTCCTTCATAAGGAATGATTGTTCCTTATGAAGAAGAACAATCGTTCATTCATAAAAAAATGATTATTCCTTATAAAAGAACAATCATTCCAAACAATCATTCCTTAATAATGAATTATCGTTCTTTCCTTAATCAGTTTGATATCAGTAGCCACTAAGAAATTCTGGCGTTTTAACATCTTCTTCTGAATCTATTAATATTTACTAGCTATCTTTATATAATACCATGTCAAGAGATTGACTAGAATCAGGAAATTTATATGTTATTAAAGTAACAATATCGCATATCAGTCATTGGATTCTCCAATGGTCGTCTATTGCAAGACCATTGGATCTCGACTCTAAGTCTAAGATCGAGATATGCTACAAGCGCATATGTAAGACTATGACACTTCAATGTATTGTATAGAATTCAACAAAGCTTTCTCAAATAAAAAGTGATGGCTTTTCAAGCTCATTGCACTACAAATAATCACTGCAAATCCAAATGAAGTGATCATAATTGCATTGCATTGCACCTTAGAAAGAATCAAAGCCACAAGAGCACAACAGAAGTATGGTTTTGTAAAACAATGTTTCTTTTTCTCTCATTTGGTAAATTTTTTCTCGTTTCTAATGAGAAAGACAACTGAAGCACTGAAGCAAAAAAAAAAAAAAAAAAAAGGAAGAATTTACAAAATCATCACCCATATAAACAAATGAAATCAACAAGGTGGGACACCAAGCATATCAAGATCACCACCAAGAAACAAAAAGACAAATTGAACATTGCCAATTTGATATGTGAAAACTGAAAACCTCTCTCTCTCTCCCTCCTCCCCTCTCTTTCTACAACTAAAGAATGATACACAAAGAAAAAAAAAAAAGAAAAAAAAAAAAAGTCACTTTCTCTGCACACTGCATTATGGTATATTCACTTTGCATGTCCCGTTTTTCGCTTCCCATCAACAAGAAGTGGCTGCCTTCCAGGCTTATGCAAGGATGGAGTATTCCCAGAGGATAGTCTCCGGGTTGGTGGCGAAGGAATTAAGGATGGAATTAGACTCCTGGTTACCAAACAATGAAAAGGGAAAAAGAAATAATCAAAACTATTGTATAACAAGAGTGCACAATGGCAAGCCTAAAGAAATATGCATAAGTTTGCTAGATAAAATAAGGACAACATTATTTTCACTAAGCTTCTTGTGTCCTGAAGGAATTATTACATGGAAGAAGAATGCATGCATTTAAAAGAAAAGCACCTATAATTCTTGCTTAAACATGACTCAAGCTATTAATGATTAGAGAGATTACCTTGTTTCTGTAAGCTTTGTCAAGGATTTGGTGGGAGTTTTCTTTGTTTTAGTACCGAGTCCTTTAGGAGTAGTTGAAACAACTCTAGGAATATTGCATTGCCAAAGCAAGTCTGGCTCTGAACAATCACTTGCGGCAGCCTCAGGATCAGAATCATCAGTGGTGGCATTCTCATACCGACCCCTCTGTACATAGTCTTCAGTATCCTTTTTGTTTGCAGTCAATCTATTCACAGGTTGTTCCGGGTATATCTTTTTCGGATCCCGAGAAAAACTCTGATAAAAACTTTCAGGTAACTGTCTGTTGTCTACTTCACACTGACCTAGCAAGTTATCACCACTAACTAACAAATCATGCTTGTTCACCATGACTTTATCAACCCAGTCACCAGAAGCAAATTCCTTTTCGTCATCCTTTCCATTTAGTACAGGAATTCCAACCAATGGCCAGAGCTGTGAGCTTGTAAGCAACTGGGGATCTAGACTTTTCCTTCTCAGCTTTGCATATTGGTTCTGGGCCTGCATACATTATATATGTAAACTCAATTTTCTTGAACAAAAAGGAATTTGATCTTTCAAATGGAATTTCATTACATTTTTCTCATTAGATCTCAGATTATTAACTTTCATAATGAATGCAACTAGTTTAAGGATTTAGAAAGGTCATGTTAATCAAAAACTGGATCAACATTATTACTTTTCAACTTAAGTTCGTATAGATTCTGGAATTTCATTCTACTTCTGCTGATCTGATTTCATGTGGTTATTAATATTTGATAAGGACATTGATAGGAACCAACTCCCAAATTGATAAAAATTGGGCTGAGGAGTTGGCCTTTGATAGGAATTAAGTTGGGCAATGGTCTTTTTGTAGGCTTAGGTAGAACTCTTTTTAGAAAACCGGCTTATCAAGGGAGGGTGTCCAACTCCTTATAAACCACATGCCCACCCATTTTCCCTCTCAATGTGAGATCCTAACAGACATCAACTCCTACCCCCAAACAGTAAATAACATGAAGAGCTGCTTTATCTATATGTCTGCCCATATCCCAAGTTACACATAGTAAAAGCTAACAGGAAGATGCTTTCTGAAGACTACATTCCTGACAAAATAGTCCCATCAGATACTAGTCCAGTTTCCAATTTTTAATTTTTTTTTCCAATTCATGCCTCCCAACATGCAAAGAGGATCGCAACAAACTGGCATATCTAGTATGCAAGGCATGCCCAACACAGCATCGGGTGCACCCAAATACACACAATATATCTTTGTATAGACCCACACCACTGATAAAATCTTTGTATATGAATAGTACACACACATCATCATGTGAGATAATTTATACCTGTATGTTACCGACATCTTCCATCGGTTGCCTATGATTGCTGGAGATGTCTCCTAAGCTGTTCCAGCTAGACTGAGAAGGAGAAGACCCATTAGACTTCACACTGGATCTTTCTGGGGTGCTAGGTCGAGTATATTGAAGATGCTCTGTCTCTTCCTTCCTTGCTAAGGCTGCCTTAAGACTAGCTATCTGAAAACAGACAATTAAGCACAAAATATTCACTATTTTGCCGACACAATTGTCAAAAATTAAGAGATAAAACAAGTGGGATAATGCTTATGAACTTATAGTGGAGTAAGAGATTGAGAAAGAACCTGTTCTTTAAGCTCTTTCACTTCTGTACTCTCTTTGTTAGCTCGAGCAGCACCAAGTTCAACAGTGGCAACCCTTTCAGCAAATTTGAGTGTACTAATTGTTTCTCCAAGGGCATCAAGCTCCGGACTAATGTGAACAAACATAAGTGTCTTTGCTTGCCCTCCTAATAAAAATAAGAACCAGCTAACAGGTTAGGAGATTCAAAGGAGAAGGAAAATGTCCTTCAAGGCAAATGCAAATTAAGTTTCTTACCAAGTGAATCCTGAAGCAGTTGAGTAAGTTTACTGTTTCTATAGGGAACATGAGAATTCTTTTGAGCAAGAGAGGCAATCACATCTCCCAGGGCAGAAAGAGATTTGTTGATATGTTGAGCCTCCTTTAATCTGTCTCCTGTCACCTCCGACTTGTCAACTCTTTCACTCCCTGCAAGATCAACAAGATGCATGGAACCACGAAGAATAGCTCCAGATGTCAAGTCTCTTCCTTGAACGTGAACTGTCACACAGCTGCAAGTAGATGCAATATAGAAGTTAATACTTGTTTATAAAAAAAATTAATAGGAAAAATCATAGGTAACATCAGAATGAATACAAAAAAAAAAAAAAAAAAGAAAGAAAAAAACTAGACCTATGAGATCGACTACTCCGATCATTCATCACTGTAGCTCCTACTGAACGGTTCTTTTGCCCAAGGTCCATCAGATATAGAACATCAGAAGTTGTTGATACAGGTACAAGGTTTGCATCTGGCACATTGATTCCGTTTTGAGAACTGTTACGAATTTCTAATGTGTTTCAGAGTTAAGAATGCAAACATGAAAATGAGATGTACAGAGCAACACATAGCAATATAAAAAAGTGAATTAGATTCACAAAGGATATCGTTTGTTTTGACCATCTGTCACAAGTAGATCCCTAACTTGCTCATTGTAGATTTCAAGCATTTGCACACAAATATCATAGCTAATGGTGTCTTTTCTCTGATCTGCAAGGATAAATAGATCACTCAATGCCCTGAAGTTTACACCTAGACCTTCCTCAGTGAGCTCCTTTGGTCCAGTCTGGATTTGTAAATAACAAGAAACAAGATTAGTCATCTGACTGATCAAAGGAAAAAAGAAAAGAAACGATTCATGATGATTGTTATTGCACTTATCAACATCATGATTATATAGAATCGTACCATAGTGTACGTTTTTCCAGATCCTGTTTGGCCATATGCAAATATGCAAACATTGTAACCATCAAGAACAGACCGAATCAGAGCTTGAGTGTCTGAAAATACCTCCGCTGTAACAAAAGAAAAGAGGTCTTAAGATTGAAGAGAGAATGCTGACAAAGAAATTTTATGAGAAAGAAGTAAATGGAGACTTAACCTTGGGTTGCAGCCGGACTAAATACTTTGTTGAAACTAAATGTTTTCCGTCCTTCTTTTCCATACTTTAATTGGGTGGTAATTGATATATTCCCTTCCTCGATGTTATCCACTGTACTCGCACGGTTCACTTGTCCATTCAAGAATGGCCGGACCCGACAGTACACCCTAATATTTCCTAATCAACCATATAATAAAACTGTTAAATCCATCTGTTCTAATACTATCTTGGTCTTGAATTAAATTTTGAACCATTAGAAATGTGACCTTTTAGGTCTTGCACTTGATTGTATAACTTGCGGTTTTCTTCAAGTACTTTCTGGTACCCTGAAGCAGCAGAGGCTAGACCATGCAATTGCTTACCTATGAAGGGAAGTTAGGAATTAGATACATTCTTCCTCTTTTGAGAACCCTGAAAAAGTGTTCATATATTCAATCAAAAGCATACCTAAAGCACTGAAATCTTCCTGGTACTTCATTTGCAATTGCTGCACTCCTGCTTTCGCAGTGTGTAGAGTTTCTTTCAATTCCTACAGGAACCAACATAATTTATAACCAAGTCTTTAAAGCTGGTGAAAAGATTCATTTGTAATCTGAATTACCTGAAGATCCCTTTGTTGTTGCTCAACCAACATATGCTGTTTCAGAAGTTGGATTTCTGATTCCTCATCATGATTACCCTTCTCTTTTATTTGTTTTGCACTCTCTTCAATCTTCTTTTCATTGATGGGAAACTCACCATCCATCTTAAAAATCACATCAATTTAGGAAAATGTCAGCCAAATGCCATTAAAATGAGACATTATTGCAAACCAATTCAAATTGCAAGCTAAATTTTAATTCAAATATGCGAAAATACGTAGCTGAAATTTTACTAAATCTATAATGCAACCCCTACCTCTACATCAGCGGAAGCAGTTCTTGGAAGAGAGTTGTTGGGAGGACAACATGTTTCCATATCTTTTGAAGTTGTTTTCATCTGTCATATTACCGAAAGTAATTAAACATTGGCAGAAGCTCAATTCATTATTTCCACCGTCAAGGAAATTCTTCACAATGACCACATCAGAAAGGTGGTGAGGAACCCTACGGGAGTAATTACTAGAATACAGGTATTAATTGCACTGGCAAGAAAGAAAGCCACTCACCAGCTCATTTTGGCTCGCCACGCGACGCTCAAACTCCTCCATGACTTTAGTAAGCATAGATTCCACAACCTATTATAAGGAAAAAAAAGTCCTTTATTTCTCTCAAATAGTCAAATTAATAAAATAGAGGCCAATTTCGATTCTTAAGAGATCCATAGACATTTTTGCAACAAAAAGTTAACATAACAACCTGAGGAATCCTTACCATTGGAATTTCTTCTTGTTTCTTATCTGAAAGAACTGAGCGGACTAGAATGTTTAAGTTGCGAGAGGATCCCTAAAAATCAGATTGCAAATAAATTTTCTGAGATGTTTTTCTTCTTATCCATATCACAAGAGAAATATAAACATTCAAAAACAGCAAGGCTCACTAACTGCTTCATTGAGGTCAAGAACAAGATCACCATTTGAAGCCTGCTCACTGTCTAGAGACTTCTCACCCGCTGATGAGGTCCTTGAAAAGGAATTCAGGAATGGTTCCGGATGTTTCCGCATAAATGGTTTCCCAGTAAAGCTTGAAGGTTTGAAATTCCCAGAATATTTCCATGACCCTCGTGCACCACTTTGCTTCCATTCACCGTATGACTTAAGAGCTAGAACACAGTTCACTATCCTTGCAGATTTCCCTAGCTGAAAATCCAAATATGAATATTTAAAAAAAAAAAAAAAGTCCTAAAAAGGGAAAATATCTCTTTTATAACCCAGATATCCCTAGAACCCACCTAGTGAACTCAAGTTCAAAACTGGGGTTCCACCAAGCTCTACAATTTTTGGTTAATGAAGAATTCATGGCATTTCGCCAAGTAGGTGGCATGGAGGATGGTTTTCTCCAGACCTTATGGGAGGAAAACCACAAAGGCCTGACCACTCAACCTATTCCTCAGAATTAACAAGATAAATTTCACTATATCTTTCACTATTTTTAGTCCATGCTAAATTCACAGAAAAATAGAAAAAATTGAAGCAAGTTCCTTGGTACAAAAATTTGGATACTAACCTCTTCAAAATCAGAGGCTTCAAATGCTGGAACCCCCAATTCTTCCACAGCTACAAGGAAGTTTCTGACATTTTCAAAGTATTGGAATGCAGAGAGAGCTGCCCCATCAGGAATAATGTCAGAATCACAAGGACCCTCTACCACCTAATTACAAGCAAGATATCTCCATCAACAACACCAATAGATGAATTAACGATAAAAATTTCTGAAACTCGTTGAAAATTAGAAACCATGCTGAACTTGAACCATACCTTTGATATAGCTCCACGCTGAATCTTGTTAAGAGCAGTGCAAAGGATTATTCCACTTCTCAATGCAAGCCTAAATTCTTCTTCTGAAGGCTGCGCCGGCAAATCTTTACCCCCAACAACTCCAACCGTCTTTCGCAGCCACTCAGCTGAAATCACAGTGCCCAAACGCACGATCGCTTAAGCGATTTATTCTATCGCTTAAACGATCCTTTGCTTTTAACCTTGGTCGCTTAAGCGATTACAGCGATCATGTCCGAGGCAGAATACTTTTGCTAGATGCACCAATTAAGCGATAAGGTATCGCTTAAGCGATTCTTCGCTTTTATTAGTGATCGCTTAAGCGATCATGAACAAGACAATAAATAAGTGCCCAGACGCATGATCGCTTAACGATCCTTTGCTTTTAACGTTGGTGCTTTAAGCGATAAATAATCGCTTAAGCGATCATGTCCGAAGCAGAATCAACTTCTGCCCAGATGCACGATTGCTTAAGCGATCTAAAATCGCTTATACAGATGCTTAAGCGATCTTCTGTCATATACCAGATCGCTTAAGCGATCTTTGTTTTACATCTTGGTCACTTAAGCGATCCTTTGCTTTTACTCTTGGTCGCTTGGAATTTGCGTCGGCATCCTCTTCAGTTTCAATTTCAACTCTTGCCCTCCCTTGTTCTGCTAATAGAATGTCTTCCGTCAAGTCGTCTCCTCTCCTGGTGGAGCAACTTCAGTCATCGGAAGTTACTCCACCACAACTTCTTCTTCTCCATTTTTGGTGACCTAGTGATGCCTACAATTTGGGGAGTAGTGAGTTTTTCTGTTTCTTTAAGGATCTCAACCATATAACTTAAGGGAATGGCAAGGAATGACAAAAATGCAAAGAGCAAAGAAATTGAGAAATTGCAGAAAATTAGAGAAAAACGAGAGAGAGAAAGGTGTTTGAATCCTGTTGTGAGAAAGAGAGTTGAGAGAAATGTGTTTTGCCTTTCAAATTTTAAATCAACTCTCTTTATTATACTCACCACAAATGTTTAATATTTTTCACCCTATCCGTTTTGCTACTATAATTACACATAAGTGTGTCACGTCATATTTTTAACCCAAAAAAATCAAAAAAAATTTTATGGCCATTTTGTTAAATGGAAACTTGGGATGGCCTGAGAGTTAAATTTTCTCTATAGAATTCAACAAAGCTTTCTAAATAAAAAGTGAGGCTTTTCAAGCTCATTGCACTACAATTAATCACTGCAAATCCAAATGAGTGATCATAATTGCATTGCATTGCACCTTAGAAAGAATCAAAGCCACAGAGCACAACGAAGTAGTGTTTTTGTAAAACAATGTTTCTTTTTCTCTCATTTGGTAAATTTTTCTCTGTTTCTAATAGATAAAGAGAACTGAAGCAAGAACAAAAAAAAAAAAAAAAAAAAAAAAGGAAGAATTTACAAAATCATCACCCATATAAACAATGAAATCAACAAGGTGGGACACCAGCATATCAAGATCACACCAAGAAACAAAAGACAAATTGAACATTGCCAATTTGATATGTGAAAACTGAAAACTCTCTCTCTCTCCCTCCTCCCCTCTCTTTCTACAACTAAAGAATGATACACAAAGAAAAAAAAAAAAAAGAAAAAAAAAGTCACTTTCTCTGCACACTGCATTATGGTATATTCACTTTGCATGTCCCGTTTTTCGCTTCCATCACAAGAAGTGGCTGCCTTCCAGGCTATGCAAGGATGGAGTATTCCCAGAGGATAGTCTCGGGTTGGTGGCGAAGGAATTAAGGATGGAATAGACTCCTGGTTACCAAACAATGAAAAGGGAAAAAGAATAATCAAACTATTGTATAAAAGAGTGCACAATGGCAAGCCTAAGAAATATGCATAAGTTTGCAGATAAAATAAGGACACATATTTTCACTAGCTTCTGTGTCCTGAAGGAATTATTACATGGAAGAAGAATGCATGCATTAAAAGAAAAGACCTATAATTCTGCTTAAACATGACTAAGCTATAATGATTAGAGAGATTACCTTGTTTCTGTAAGCTGTCAAGATTTGGTGGGAGTTTTCTTTTTAGTACCGAGTCCTTTAGGAGTAGTTGAACAAACTTAGGAATATTGCATTGCCAAAGCAAGTCGGCTCTGAACAATCACTTGCGGCAGCCTCAGGATCAGATCCTCAGTGGTGGCAACTCATACCGACCCCTCTGTACATAGTCTTCAGTATCCTTTTTGTTTGCAGTCAATCTATTCACAGGTTGTTCCGGGTATATCTTTTTCGGATCCCGAGAAAAACTCTGATAAAAACTTTCAGGACTGTGTTGTTACTTCACACTGCCAGCAAGTTAATCATAACTAACAAATCATGCTTGTTCACCATGACTTTATCAACCCAGTACCAGAAGCAAACTCTTTTCGTCATCCTTTCCATTAGTACAGGAATCAACCAATGGCCAGAGCTTGAGCTGTAGCAATGGGGATCTAGACTTTTCCTTCTCAGCTTTGCATATTGGTTCTGGGCCTGCTACATTATATATGTAACTCAATTTTCTTGAACAAAAAGAATTGATCTTTCAAATGGAATTTATTACATTTTTCTCATTAGATCCAGATTATTAACTTCAGAATGAATGCAACAGTTTAAGGATTTAGAAGGTCATGTAACAAAAACGGATCAACATTATTACTTTTCAACTTAAGTTCGTTAGATTCTGGAATTTCATTTACTTCTGATCTGATTTCATGTGGTTATTAATATTTGATAAGGACATTATAGGAACCTCCCAAATGATGAAAATTGGGCTGAGGAGTGGCCTTGATAGGAATTAAGCTGGGCAATGGTCTTTTGTGGTTAGGTAGAACTCTTTTAGAACCGTTATCAAGGAGGGTGGCAACTCCTATAACCACATGCCCACCCATTTTCCCTCTCAATGTGGATCCTAACAGACATCAACTCCTACCCCCAAACTAAATAACAGAAGAGCTGCTTTATCTATAGTCTGCCCATATCCCAGTTACACATAGTAAAGTAACAGGAGAGCTTTCTGAAGACTACATTCCTGACAAAATAGTCCCATCAGATACTAGTCCAGTTTCCAATTTTTAATTTTTTTTCCAATTCATGCTCTCAACAGCAAAGAGGATCGCAACAAACTGGATATCTAGTATGCAAGGCATGCCCAACACAGCATCGGGTGCACCCAAATACACACAAATATATCTTTGTATAGACCCACACCATGATAAAATTTGTATATAATAGTACACACACATCATCATGTGAGATAATTTATACCTGTATGTTACCGACATCTTCCACGGTTGCCTAGATTGCTGGAGATTCTCCTAAGCTGTTCCAGCTAGACTGAGAAGGAGAAGACCCATTAGACTTCCCACTGGATCTTTCTGGGGTGCTAGGTGAGTATTGAAGATGCTCTGTCTCTTCCTTCCTTGCTAAGGCTGCCTTAAGACTAGCTATCTGAAAACAGACAATTAAGCACAATATCACCTATTTTGCGACACAATTGTCAAAAATTAAGAGATAAAACAAGTGGGATAATGCTATGAACTTATAGTGGAGTAAGAGATTGAGAAAGAACCTGTTCTTTAAGCTCTTTCACTTCTGTACTCTCTTGTTAGCTCGAGCAGCACCAAGTTCAACAGTGGCAACCCTTTCAGCAAATTTGAGTGTACTAATTGTTTCTCAAAGGCATCAAGCTCCGGACTAATGTGAACAAACATAAGTGTCTTTGCTTGCCCTCCTAATAAAAAAAGAACCAGCTAACAGGTTAGGAGATTCAAAGGAGAAGGAAAATGTCTTCAAGGCAATGCAAATTAAGTTTTTACCAAGTGAATCTGAAGCAGTTGAGTAAGTTTACTGTTTCATAGGGAACATGAGAATTCTTTTGAGCAAGAGAGGCAATACACTCTCCAGGGCGAAAGAGATTTGTTGATATGTTGAGCCTCCTTTAATCTGTCTCTGTCACCTCCGACTTGTCAACTTTCACTCCTGCAAGATCAACAAGATGCATGGAACCACGAAGAATAGCTCCAGATGCAGTCTCTCCTTGAACGTGAACTGTCACACAGCGCAAGTAGATGCAATATAGAAGTTAATACTTGTTTATAAAAAAATTAATAGGAAAAATCATAGGTAACATCAGAATGAATACAAAAAAAAAAAAAAAAAAAAAAAAAAACTAGACCTATGAGATCGACTACTCCGATTCATCCTGTGCTCCACTGAACGGTTCTTTTGCCCAAGGTCCATCAGATATAGAACATCAGAAGTGTTGATCAGGTACAAGGTTGCATCTGGCACATTGATTCGTTTTGAGAACTGTTACGAATTTTTAATGGTGTTTCAGAGTTAAGAATGCAAACATGAAATGAGATGTACAGAGCAACACATAGCAATATAAAAAAGTGAATTAGATTCACAAAGGATATCGTGTTTTGACCATCGTCACAAGTAGATCCCTAACTGCTCATTGTAGATTTCAAGCATTTGCACACAATATCATAGCATATGGTGTCTTTTCTCTGATCTGCAAGGATAAATAGATCACTCAATGCCCTGAAGTTTACACCGACCTTCCTCAGGGAGCTCCTTTGGTCCAGTCTGGATTTGTAAATAACAAGAAACAAGATAGTCATCTGACTCACAAGGAAAAAGAAAAGAAAGATTCATGATGATTGTTATTGCACTTATCAACATCATGATTATATAGAATCTACCATAGTGTAAGTTTTAGATCCTGTTTGGCCATAGCAAATATGCAAACATTGTAACCATCAAGAACAGACCGATCGAGCTTGAGTGTCTGAAATACCTCCGCTGTAACAAAGAAAAGAGGTTAAGATTGAAGAGAGAATGTGACAAAGAAATTTATGAGAAAGAAGTAAATGGGACTTAACCTTGGGTTGCAGCCGACTAAATATTTGTTGAAACTAAATGTTTTCCGTCCTTCTTTCCATACTTTAATTGGTGGTAATTGATATATCCTTCCGAATCGTACACCTTATATGTCTAAGATAGCGTTAATCGCTTAACTAATCTAGTGAAATACAATAAAAATAATCCAAATATACTGGATCGCTTAAGAGATTTCATTTCTCGCTTAAGCGATCGTGTGTATTTAGACTTAGTTGCTTAAGAGATCTGGTTGTATTTATGTTATCGCTTAAGCAATTCTATGCTTTTATACTTGGTTGCTTAAGCGATCACGAACAAGACAGAATCAATAAGTGTCCAGACGCACGATCGCTTAAGCGATTTATTCTATCGCTTAAGCGATCCTTTGCTTTTAACCTTGGTCGCTTAAGCGATCATGTCCGAGGCAGAATAAACTTCTGCCTAGATGCACAATTGCTTAAGCGATTAAGTGTATCGCTTAAGCGATTCTTCGCTTTTATTATTGGTCGCTTAAGCGATCATGAAAAAGAAAATAAATAAGTGCCCAGACGCATGATCGCTTAAGCGATCCTTTGCTTTTAACGTTGGTTGCTTTAAGCGATCATGTCCAAAGCAGAATCAACTTCTGTCTAGATGCACGATCGCTTAAGCGATCTTCTGTCATATACCAGATCGCTTAAGCGATCCTTTGCTTTTACTCTTGGTCACTTGGAATTTGTTAAGCGATTCTATGCTTTTACACTTGGTCGCTTAAGCAATCATAGATCGCTTAAGCGATCACGAACAAGACAGAATCAATAAGTGCCCANATATTTAATTCTAAACTCTTAAACAACTTTCAATTGCAATATGCCAATATCAATGTCAATACCAATGACCATTACAACACAAAATTCTATGCAATCAAATCAAATAAATTAGATAGGTTCCATGATAGTCTCTGAATGAATCAATAAAGAATGAGTTTCCAGGATTAATGCAAGAACATCTATATGAATAACAAGAACATTTAGCATTGACTTGGAACATTTAGCATTGACTTGGATCAATATGAACATAAAAAAGAAACAATAACAATATAAAAGCTATAAAGGGAGCTCAAGATGAATCAAAATTCAAGCAAAAACATCAAAAAAATAAGTAAAGAAATGATGATCATACAAGCCTCTTCAGCTTTCCTTGAAGCCAGATCAATGGGCCTCGATCTTGTATTATGTTGTTGAAGAACATCCTCCACAACAGAAGCAACAGAGAATGACAAAACCTGTTCTGTTGCCATTTCTTTAACTCAAAAAATACAAAAAACAACAAAATCTACCCCACTCCCACTAAGATAAATATTCAATCTTTGCAATTGAACACAAATTTAAAGCTTCCCCATTAAACATATACCAAATGAAATCGTTTCTTTTACCAAAAAACCAAGAAAATCTACCGCTTTAAAACAACCCCACAAAGATTAAAAAATCAAGCTTTACAATAGAACACAGATTAAAATGCTAAAAAAGAAACTGGGATTGCTTCTTGTACAAAAAACCATTAAAACACAGAATTCAAAGCTTTCCCATGAAAAATATATACTAACAGAAACTGGGATTGTTTTGTCTTGTTTTGTTTTTATTTTCTTTCTTCTTTGTTTGTGAAGATGAAGATTAAAGAGAGAGCAATGTATTATGGAGAGAGAGAAGGAGAAAAGGGGTGTAGTTTTAATGAGAATTTTCTCAGACTTTCTCTCGTTTTCTCTCTCAGTTTCTTGGATTGTCTCAGCCTAATATTGAAGAGAAAAGCTACAAACCGAACCTGGTTCCGAACCTCGCGCTTTTGGGAGGCTGGCAGTTTATATATGTACAGAAAATAATGGCCTAATTTTATCTTTTTTCCTTTTTTTTTTTTTTAACCCTTTAAAAAATATCAAATTAATCATGTTTATAAAATTTCTCCTTTTAATAAATAAATTTTGGTGAATATAATAAAAACGATATCTAATTTTAAATTGTATTAAAAAATATAATATAATTCAAGTTTATTTCATAAACAAAATACAATATAACACCCATTTTTAATATATATTCATTAAAATTTTATTTTATTTTTATTATTATAACAAATATTTTTGTACTTATACCACAAATTTTAATGCCTAATTGATCGAAAAAAAAATTATAAATTTTAATAATTGAAATTTTTTCAGTGTATTTTTTTTATTAATATAATAAAATGTATTAAATAATGAAATTATACTTAAATCTATTTTGTAGATGTTAGATTGATGTTTAGATTAGGACATGGTAACGATGATTAGAGAGCTCTAACTATTTATTTTATTGGCTAATTATTAATATAAATATATATATTGTTAATTATTTTATTAATAAATCTATTTAATTTAGTTTATTGGAATGGTAAATATTTTTAAACAGTTCAAAATTGGTCAATGTAAATTGTATATTGAATTAGTAAACGATTACTTAAATTAAAAACATCCATCCAATTTTCTGGTTCAAATTATTTCCTTCTTTCTATTTTTTTTTATTTCGGAATTTTTCTAAAATATAATTTATCATATATACACTTAATCAATCACGGTTTATCACAAAAATATTACATCAATCATACCATAAATCAATAAATTTATACCAACACGATTTTTAAACTTTTCGTCTCGTCTATCTTTGTATTAAATATGATGGGTAATAATTAAATTAAAAACCAATGTGGCACGGACTTGTGTTACAAGTGATCTGGTACCACCATGGTATCATAAATTTTTTTCTTAGACGGATACACATATATCCAATATAGGAAAGTTTTTACACGTTGCAATACGATTAACACTCGGCAGATATTATTCGCTTTGACACTACAAAGCCTCACAATTCTATACCTCGGCTTCAAGCCCAAAACTTTCGTTGGAGTACAGGCCTATTAGCCTTATTTAAAAACTCAGTTATCCTCACACGGGAGTGATGTGGGACTTCAGGTCACAACAGATTTCACTTTCATG